TGCCTCAGCCTCCTAAGTAGCTGGGACTACAGGCACGCGCCACCATGCCCAGCTAATTTCTTGTATTTTTAGTAGAGACGGGGTTTCACCATGTTGACCAGGATGGTCTCGATCTGTTGACCTCGTGATCCACCCGCCTCGGCCTCCCAAAGTGCTGGGATTACAGGCTTGAGCCACCGCGCCCGGCCAACTCATCTTTAATAGCACAACCCCTATTTTCTAGACACCAATTTATTGTACTTACTGATTTGGATCTGATCCATAATCCACCAGAACATCAACTAATTTCATAAGGCCCAATAATGCTGCAACAAAAAGTGGTGTTTGTCCCAAGGAGTTAACTGCATCAACACAAATTCCTGCAAAGAAAATACCAGAATCAATGCAAATATCAGTAATTTTCCTGAGATGGAACTGGGTGGGAAGAGAGGAGGGAATTAAATGTCTTTATAGTGTACTTTCACATATTGCTGTGAGCTTTTATTTTTATTTATTTATTTGTTTATTTATTTATTTTTGAGACGGAGTTTCGCTCTTGTTACCCAGGCTGGAGTGCAATGGCGCGATCTCGGCTCACCGCAACCTCCGCCTCCTGGGTTCAGGCAATTCTCCTGCCGCAGCCTCCTGAGTAGCTGGGATTACAGGCATGAGCCACCATGCCCAGCTAATTTTTTGTATTTTTAGTAGAGACGGGGTTTCACCGTGTTGACCAGGATGGTTTCAATCTGTTGACCTCGTGATCCACCCGCCTCGGCCTCCCAAAGTGCTGGGATTACAGGCGTGAGCTACCGCGCCCGGCCTGCTGTGAGCTTTTAAAAAAAAAAATTTTTTTTTTAAAGAAGACCTTCATTAGTTGGACATAGATACACTGGAAGGCAATCTGTGTTTATTCATCAAAAATATTTACAGAAAGTTGCATTGAAGCATTTATTTCACCATACTTTGGTGTATTATAACATGGATTAAAATGTTCTCAGTCATGGGTAGGGATGAGAGAGGGACTAATGATACTTGTGTGTTGGGAGAAAGGCTGTAACATAAAAAGAGCTCACTGGAATACAAATCCTCCTCTAAAAGATAAAGATTAATTCAACAAGGGAAACAAAACACGCAAAACAGACCAATTTCCAGTACAATCAAACAATGATGCCGTGAATAATTAAAAGGGACTGGAAACAAAAAGCCAAAAGAATAACAACCAAAACCAGGTAGAAAAAAAGGAAAAAAGTTGGCCGGGCGCGGTGGCTCAAGCCTGTAATCCCAGCACTTTGGGAGGCCGAGGCGGGTGGATCACGAGGTCAAGAGATCAAGACCATCCTGGTGAACATGGTGAAACCC